TTTACGTGACAGATTCGCATTGACAGATAAGAGAATTGTATGAAACNACTTAACAACAACAAACTTTTGCTTCGCTTTACGTGACAGATTCGCATTGACAGATAAGAGAATTGTATGAAACTGCAAGATAATTGTGATGAAATGTTGCAGCGCGAAGAGAAAAGATGGCTAACTCCCATTGTTGTTGTTGTAGCGGCTACAACAACCCCGCCCAGATTGGCTGATATCTCAGTCGTTGTCGTCGAGTTCCACTAACGGCAGCCCCAAGAAGCGTGCAGCCTCTATGGGGTCGGTCCATAGGGAGGACGCCGTTAGGGTTGTGGGGTTTTCCGGGCATGCGAAGAGATGTTTCGAGTCGTGAGGGGTCTCTCCGCATGCCGGACATTTGTTCGGCACATCCGAATTTAACCTACTCAAGTAGGAATTCAGCCTCCGTCACGTCAATGTCCGGTGTTTGTGTGCCTAGAACGGCATTCACAGGTCTTGAGTCTACATAACTCGAGACTGCGTCCCTGTGAATGCCGTTCAGGGCCTGTCTGTGAGCTGTCATATAGATGCCTCCTGACGTGCCTCGGCGAGGGCTCCTCTGTAAGCAGCTGTCTATTTGGGTGGCCACATCTGTGGCTCCCAGCAAGAAACTGCTTGCAGAGTATCGTGTTGTGCTCCCTAATTGGGAGCATTTTCATCTCATCGTGGAGGTGGTGTTCTGGTGACATCAGGAGGCATCTGGTCGCTGTCCTAAGTGCTGTATTTTGTACCGTTGTATTGTAACTCTCATCTTTTTGCGCGCTTTGACAAGCAGCCGGTTTAATATTTGTTAATTATTGTTATGCTCGTCTAAAATCTCCAGTAAAAACATCCAACTGCGAAATTCCGGCCAAATGTCATCTGTTCTCTCACAAGAGAAAAATATCCAAAATAGTACGCGAACAGAAAATTTGCAGAAACTTGCAAGTTAGACGAACAGCTGATATAATTTTTGTTTACATTCAAAAGTGTAACATTTAAAACGTACGAAAAGTCATCACAAAGTGTTATACTGACACAGTTTATTGACTAAACAAATAACTACTTATTTCTTACAAGTTTAATTAGTCTCATTTTGTAATTTTTAACTTCCAAACCATCAAATTCAATTTTGTGATTTGCGTAAATGCCAACCAGCTGTTTATGATCACCTGTTTTCCTGTTGGCGAATTGCTGTTAGCAAAAATTTTTCCAGCAGAAACCAGCAGCTTCCACTCAAAATGAAATGTCACTTTGCTCTCTCAATTTCCCCTATTTTGCAAGTTTTTTGCTTACGCGAACGCAAAAACTTGTAATTTTTGGTTAAACATTAACAATTAACAACTACGCGAACGCAACTATTCTGTTTCGTCCAAATTCGAGTCATGGATAATTAGTCTGTTCCTTTGAACTTCGGACTAAAACCTGTGGAACTGTCAAACTACAATTTTACTCTCTCAAATGAGAGTAAAAGGAGAACAGATGCAGAAGTGCATAGGAACGCAAAAAGCACTATTTCCTGTAAAAACGTCAGACGGTTTGTTTACATGTCATTGGTGCTACACTGATTTGGCTGAAATATCACTAAATAATTATTAAAATCTATACATATTCAAATATTTCGTTGTTTACTTAAATTTTTTAACAAATATAAGGTTCTTTGCTTTCAACGCTTTCTGTTTTTGTTTGCACATGTAAATCAGCTGATCGTTTGACACTTTTCATGAACTTACAGGAAAAAAAACTCCGGACTAAATCCTGTAACTTCTGACTAGGAACAGTTGCTCAATTACTCTCTCAAATGTGTTCCCACTTACAGGTTTTATGTCAATAGGAACGACTTCCTGTAAGTTCTGACTAAATCCTGTAAACCGGACTGCTATTGGAACAGACTAAATATGATACGAAATTCTCTCATTTCGTTCCTGAACTCGTTTTACGACTTGGCAGCACAGAAAGATCAGAGGCGATGAACAGCTACCACTAGTCAAGTTTAAATTGCACCGCTGTAAAATTAGGGGATTTACTTTACATGCAGGAATAAATAAAGCGAAAGTGCAGTGTTTATAAGTAAAAATAATTTTACTCGTTATTTAAGAATTTTATAACACGCAAGCACAAAGGAGGTATTTAAATTTTTGGCTTTTGATTATTTTACCTAATAAAAGAAAATCTCCTACAATTTCTTAATAAATACCCATACACGTATTTCGTAGCAGTGGCACTACTGGAAGATGTCATGAAAAATTAACCTTTTGACAGCGCTCTCACGAGAAAAAGAGTTTCGTATCATATTATCCATGTTCGAGTATTCACGCAGAAACATAAAACTCAATTACGTTGCTGATAATTTTAAAGCAAAATATCTAAAATCCACAGCAATTTTGACGAGTAAAAAAGCAGTGCAAAATTGATTTCTTGGCGTTAATTGTGGCATGCCTTTTGCGTCCGGCGCGTTGCTGGCAAAGTTATAAATGTCACGCAAAGCTACAAAGTTTTATCTGGCATCAGCTTAAAAAAGTGTTCCTTAACTCGAAAATGACAGCAGAAATGAGAGAGCAACACTCAGTGAGAGTGACTCTCTTCAGTCCGAAGTAGTCAGATTTAGTCAGAAGAATTTTTGCTGGCAAAATCTTGAAAAGTGTCAAACTCAACTGAATTTAAATTAACGGAAATTAAAATTTTGTACATACTTTTCTATTCTTATTTGACGTTAGTTTTGTTGTTGCCATTTTTTGGACTAAAAATTTGGTTTTTTGCGTTCCTTTACTGTTTCCTGTTATTCTCTTTTAGTGAGCGCATTTTGCTTACGCTCTGGCATTTTGACACTTTTTAGATTTTAATCCAAAAAGATAAGGAAAGAACCTATTGGCAGTAAGAGCTAGTACCGTCCGAAAACACTACAGTACAGATTTAAGCTTAGTATCCAGCTCTTAAGAAAACGGTCAAGAAAAAATTGCCATTATTTCGCGTGTGTGTCCAAGGAATTTTGACATTTTTTATACCTCACAGCCTGTTGCCTCACTCTTTCCTCAAGAAATAATGGAACGGGCATATATTTCTGTTGCAAACCTGGGTTGCCTTGTGCTCTTTTTTCACAAAAAACTTTAGAAAACCGTAGTAGAAAGCGTACTAAATTTCTGAAGAACTGCGTACTGCCTTAAGGAAATTTGACTCAAGAAAATTTCTTAGCCATTTCTTGTACGTCATTTTATATGGAGTTTTTGCTTTTCTTATGAGCTGGATACTAAGCTATATCAATAAACACGTACGAAAGAAAAGGAGCACATACGTTTATAAATAAATAGTTTGTTCCAGTATTCTCCATGCAAAAACCTGTGGAACTGTCAAACTACAATGTTATTCTCTCAAGTGAGAGTAAAAGGGGAACAGTTACAGAAGTGTACGTGAACGCAAAAAGCACTATTTCCTGCACAAACGTCAGTCAGCTTGTTTACATGTCATTGGTAGAACCAGTGTCGCCGCGAATCATTTTTAGTGTTAGCCAAATTCCTTTAAAAAAGGGCTAAAAATAAGCTAAAAAAGTCGTTGTGGCTAAAAATGGTAGCCAAATTTTTTTACTTACATATATATATATAAGTACACGCGCAAACATTTTCAATAAGTAATTGTATAGAAAAACAACTTACTGTCGAAAAACAGCAAATATTTTATCCAACTAAAAACCTCTTTTTTATAAAAGTGGAAATATACGACACCAGCTTCCTGGCTCCATCAAGCGATTGTACCATCAGGCTCGAAGCATATAACTTACCAGCATGCTGGTACAATATTTATTTCTTTACAAATGAGGTTGAGGAAAGATCGAAATGATGAGAGCCGAAATTTCATAGTTTTTCTACCATATTTTGTTAATTTTTTTTTTAAATTTACAACTACAATATCGTGAACTTAATCTTCCACAAACACGACTTTAACTCATATAGTGCAAGAAATTTCCGCCAAAATAATTTTAACTTGGAAAATTGAGCTAATTTCCCCACTGACGAGACCAGCAGCTGATACAATCACACGACAAGAACATACACAGTCAATCGACTTGATGGGCCGTCAGTGATCGCACTTGAAAAAAATGCGTTTGGTAGAATCCAGAAAAAATGTGGTAGATTTGAAAAAAATTTGGCAGATCTCAGTTTTTGGATCAAACTTTGTACAAAAATTAAAAAAAAATCTGCAAGGTTTCACCTAAATTGCAAATCTAAAATAATAGAATCTCAAAAACATGATTGTGTTGCTTATTGGCCGTTTAGTATAATTTAATAATAATTTTTGAGCTATAGGCCGTATGTTAAATAAAACATTAAATGTTTTTCGTTTTTATTTACTTTTTAGTTTTATTTTGGTCGATATTTCGCCTTCAGTCTGAAGGCATCTTCAGGACTAAAAAAGGAAAACAATATTTTTACATCATCACAATATAAACCAACAAAAACATACATATGCACAAGTGCATTAAAACGACTTACACTATTAGGGCCGGTTGTTCAATGTCTGATTAGCACAAATCGGAGGTAGAAGCTCCGGTTAAGCACAACTACTGCTTTATCGATCACATGTTACATGCATGATGTCGAAATCGTCGATAGTGTAGTGGTAGTGATAACCAGACATTGAACAACCGGCCCTAAGCTTTGTCTGGTCGACTAATCATATGTTAAAATGTATAATAACAAACAAGCCCGAAGAAGATATTAAACGTAAACAGGAAAACTAATAATTAAAATACAGTAATTGTAAACAAAAATTTTTATACAAACAACAATACATAAAGTGCTGAACAGTAAGACTAAGGGCCGGTTTCTCTATCTCCGGTTAACACTAATCCCCCGGTAAACATCGTTACCGACCTTATCGACTCCCTGTTATATGCATGGAGTTAGAACGTCGATAACAATGTTTAGCCGGGGAGTTAGTGTTAACCAGAGATGGAGAAACCGGCCCTAAGGACATTAATAGGAGACCACCTGAATAAAATGACAATCACCATTAGAGATAGATTTATTCGTGATACCCTACATTCTACTAAGACGTTCCTAAAAAACAATGACCAACTTTTAATTCTCAATGCGGGCAAAGGAAATGCAACTGTAATGATGGAAAAATCGGAATACGATATAAAGATGCAGAAAATAGTCAATGATATTTCGACATACAGGGTTTTGAAACGTGATCCCACGAATAAATTCCAAGCTAAAAATAACGAAATTGTAGAGAAAATTTACACAAACAAAGTGATTGATTTAAAAGAAAGGAATAACCTATCCTGCAAAACGGCCAATCCCCCAAAAATTTACGGTCTACCTAAAATTCACAAAGAAGGAATCCCACTAAGACCTATATGTTCGTCCATCAGTTCTCCGTCCTATAACCTATGTAAATATGTTGTCCGCGTGCTCAAAAATGTAACAATGTCCTCCAAATTTAATGTGAATGACGCAGTCGAGTTTAAAGAAAAGATCGGAAAAACATATATTTACGACGATGAAAGTCTTGTGTCGTTTGATGTCGTCTCGCTTTTTCCAAGCACACCCGTGGATTTAGCGATAGAGATAATAGATTCTAAGTGGAGTTCAATACAAGAACATACAACTCTAACCAAAGACCTTTTCTTAACCATATTGAAATTTTGCATTAAAGAGAATCGCTATTTCAAATGTAACGACAAGATTTACGAGCAAAAGTCAGGAATGCCTATGGGTTCCCCCGCTTCACCGGTTATCGCAGACATAGTAATGGAGGAATTATTAATCAAATGTGAAAATGACGCCGAAAGCAAACCCCAATTACTAACTAAATATGTCGACGACATCTTTGCAATTGCTAAAACAGAAAATATTGACAAGATGCTTAACACACTAAACAATTACAACAAGAAAATAAAATTTACATTAGAAATAGAAAAAGATGGACAATTACCCTACCTGGACACCCTAATAATAAGGAAAAATAACAAATTAACAGTTGACTGGTATAAGAAACCTACAGCATCAGGGAGGCTCATTAATTTTAACTCGAGACATGAGAAGAAAATAATTCGAAATACCGCCAAAAATTTTATAACAAGAGTCCTCACGATAAGTGACGAAAATTATCATNCATTATCATAAGAATAACATTGCCACTATCAAAGATATCCTGCGGAAAAATGAATTTCCACATTGCTTAATTAATAAGCTTATCCGCGACTTCTATGTCCAGACCGGTAAA